CCCCCCCACAGCAAAGCTTGTTGTACGATGAGTGACAACTATGACGAAACACCGCACGTGGTGGCTATCGCATAAAAGAGTGTGATGATACTGGGGATGGATTTTACCTTCTTTACAAGCTCCGCTACGCACTCAACAAATCAAAGCAACTCGCCAATCTTCTGCGTCCATATCCGTTGGGGTAAGAAGGCCGCGTAATAGCGAATGAAGCCAACCGGGATGCAAAGCAAAATGGCTGAGCGAACATCCAAACCACCATGGCCAAGACGCGGTAGAAATGAAAGAAAACAATAACTCGATATTTGCCATTTGGTTGGTACTGTTTGTGTCAAGGCTCCCATGAACTTGTTCCACTTTCATTCACCGCGTCCATTTGGAGGCTTGCCATCTTGACTCTGATGGTCTGGATGTTCGTCCAGCCATTTTGCTACCCATTTCGGCTACCTTGATCGGAGCTCTTGCGATGCCTTCGTGCCTAGATGGGAATCAGCAGATCAGCGAGTTGCTTTGATTTGTTGGGCGCGTTGAGGATCTTGTAAAAAAGGTGCGGTTCAAAGCTATTCTGATGCGGACCATGGCGGCCTTTTATACTCCAACAGGCACATAGTTTGGTCCATGTCGTCATCAAACTTTGGTGGCATAGCCAGCCGCTGAGCCCTACCGAAAGCGTGATTAGCTTTTGCCAATCGGGAATCTCTCTAGAGTCTAGATAGACCTAGATTCGTGCCGTGGCCGACATCCGTTGTTGAGTCTTTTTAACTGTTTTGATATCCGAGTAGACGGATGTATGATTTGGGTTCCGAGAGGAGCAACAAGGGCTGCTACCTTGGTAGCTATACTGGCCAATACATGTAAATTATCCCATGTTGACGATGGAATATTGATGCTGGTGATTTTTACCACTGCAGAGATTACTCGATTGATCGAATGGGCGTCTCCTCTTTGCACGGATTTGCCGGATGAGGTGCAGGCTGTAATTGTAATTAGCAGGGCGAATGGGTAAATGCAGGTTCACTGCTAGCCCTCTGCCAAATTCTCGTACTCGGCATGCACTGAATATTACCTGCATGCATGCATAACGCACGTCATCGTGGGATTGACTCGACATGCTCTGCGTGCCATCAGGCTATTTAATTTGTGAGCCTTTCCAGTTGACGCAGAATGGGAGTTGATGCTTGCAGCTTGCGTTGTCGTCGTGGGTTCGGTGTCTTTACGCGGGTCGGGTCAGGCCAGCCACCATTTGATGCCATCCACATGTACTCATATCGTCATTACGAATGCTGGCTGGTTGGAGACGTGAAGAAACTGAGTCACTTTGATTGTACTGTATGTGGATCATATCAAGGAGAGCACGACATTTTCCCCTTGATAGTGCAACGTCGGCATCCCTTGTTTGGCCCCCTGGCGCAGGGAAACGCAAGTCATCTAGCCGTCGGCGGCTATTGGGAATATCCAAAGGCTTAAAGGACATGTGGACTTCTGCGGCCGATAGTACGACGATGCGCAATTTCGACTCATGCAACGCTCGCATTTCCATGTGTCAATGATGTCAATGAGTTGGACGCGAAACACACGTGTAGGATGCATGCAATAGCCTCGCTGTTTGAGCCGTAAACAATCCTTACATGGATGGTGACGCATTTGTGTGAGCGACTTCTGCATGTGATATCCAGCTCTTCACATGTACTTTTTACACTGCACGCTGGTTCAATTCAGTCTGGAACAATTGTGATGGAAAAGTCATGGCATCGACTTTGCGTGTGTGCAATAACACGTCATACAATAGGCAAGGCTAGGTAAAGAAATAGCTCACGTCGGCAACAACAAACATTAATTCATCATGGATGGATCCAATCCAATCCAAGCACGAAACCGCCCGTCACAACACGACATCAAGATGCCTGTACGGAGTACTGTAGTGCGAGGGTTAGGTACCTACAGCGGGCTCCAAGTGCCCTGACAGCGCCCCCGTCGTCCCCTGCGAGATCCGCCGTGGCAGCGCTGGAACCGCCCGCCTAGCGCCCGCGCCCTCGACGATGCCCCGGATACGTCAACCGCCAAAAACGCGCCAGCGAGCAAATCTAATCAAATCAATCCCATTTACACGCTCCCGCGTCGTGAGACCGCGTCTCTCCACTTTGACTCCCATGTCCCTAGCCTCACTCATTTTCGCTTATCCGAAAGCAAAGTCTCCGCTTATTGCCTCCAAGCTCTTTTTTTCTCTTCGTTCTCCCTTGCCATGATTCGACTCGCCTAGAGCTGTTGCATTGCATCTCGTCATTTGTCCTGTCCTGTCCTGTCCTGTCCATTCGCCTCAGCCTTGGGAGTTGAGCGACCTTGCCACTATATCCGCCCGTACTGTAGAGCAGCATCATGGTGCATTATCATTATGGCCCGTCTGCCTCCTCCGATGCCGTTCCCTCCAGCCCGCCCGCCACGACGTCCTCGCCGGCGAGCATGATGCTGTCGCCCATCAGATCCACGCGGCGAAAGGAAAGACGAAACCCGTCGGTCACGCCGCGGAGGTTTGGCCGCTTCTTTACGCCGCGGTCGTCTCTGCCCAGCGGACGATCCGTCTTGGGCATGCTGGATAGTGCCTCTGTCAACAATCGCCAGCTGGCATCCCCCATGTCTTTTCTCAGCGATCCGCTGCTGAGTTCGGATCCGTTGTGTCCACCCTCCCCCAGTGAGCGGCTGGGGCCGAGCGCAGAGCACAAGAGGTTGATGGAGGAGACGCGGACGGATGGCGCAAAGAGGAGGAGAACCGACGAGGCCTCGCCGTACGCCTTGCCGGAGCTGAACTACCCCACCATCATGGAAGAGGATGTGGCCGAGGAGGATGGTGTCAAGTCAAAGGAGACTCTGGAAAGCTTGGGGGACCGACGCAAGGCAACTCTGGTAAAAATGAGATTCCTTCTGCATGCAAGGCTGTGATTTGCTGACAAGCTCCAAGAACCTCTTCTTCAAGGCCAGCCGTAGTGGTTCTCGTGCGTGGCAAGAAAAGTCAGGACTAACTCCCCGGGGGCTTTTTGCCGTTGACCCCAAGGCCCCCCTGGTATGGCTGACTGATGCTTCTTCCTCTTTCGTTGTCCTGCGGCAGGTTGCTAATTATGCTTGCTACAGCATCTGGAAGGATATCAGCCAAGGCCTGTCCGTAAATTCCGGGATACTGGTTTTGAATCTCAGCTCCTTGATCGAGAGCATGGCTTCTCTTTGCACCACGGCAGACAGCATCTGAACTATCCAGCCTGCGACCCGAGGATTGAGACCGCTTCTTTTTATAGCCGGAGCAATGACCTTCACCACTGCGCTGCCTCCTCCGGAAACGGCAATACGATTCCCTTTAGTCTGGCCAGCTGCCACAAAAGCTCGGTTACGGCCATTGGCGATGAGCAAGGATGTGTTCGCCTCTTCAAGACCGATCTGAACGACCCGCTGGACGACTCTAAAGTCGATACGTACATCTCGGTACATGACAACGCGATTATGGATCTGGCGTTCTCACAAGATGACATGCGCCTGGCAACGGCGTGCGGTGATCGTAGTGGCAGGATCCTGGATGTTCCGACGCTGACAGTCGCCGCCGAGCTTGGAGGAGGTCACTGGGACTCATTGCGGCAGGTTGCGTTTCAACCGGGTGAAGCGGCCGGCAATGTTATTGCCTCCTCCGATCGGGCTGGCCGTATTCAAATCTGGGACTTGCGATGTTCCTCGTCGCCGGTCAACAGCTTCTCATGTCCCAGCGGTATTGGCCAGCGAGACACCTCCCTGGAACCCTTCCACGCCAAGGGCGTCAACACCATCGACAACGCCCACGAACGCACTGTACAGGGCAATACCTCATCGGCCTCCGTCACTGCTATTCACTGGATGCCGCCGGGCCGCGAACATCTCCTGCTTTCTGCATCCGAGGCCAATGCTTCCATCAAGCTCTGGGACACGAGATACATCAAGCCTCGGCGGCAGGTCGAAGAGACGCCTCTAGCTGTGACTTCAGAGCCACGAGGCCACACGTGGCGATCCTACGGCATTACATCCCTCGCAATCAGCTCCGACGCCGGCCGCCTCTATGCTGTTTGCAAGGACAGCACCGTCTACGCTTACTCGACAAATCATTTGATGCTCGGCCATGCGCCGGAGCTCGAGGATGGAGCAACCAAGCGAAGGCCCAACGGGGCTCAAGGTCTGGGCCCCATGTACGGCTTCAAGCACGACTTGTTCCGTGCCCAATCCTTCTACGTCAAATGCGATATCCGCCCCAGCACCAACGGCACCTCGGACCTCCTCGCCGTGGGCAGCAGCGACGGCTGCGCACTTCTCTTCGCCACCGACGAACGATATGTCCGCAGCGCCTGGGCCAAACGCTCCCACATCCCTCCCGAAACCACCTTTGCCACCCCGTCACAAAGCATATCCACGCCTTCCGCTTTTGGATCAACCGCTGCTACGCCTCTTATCCCCATCTCGCGCCTTGGAACGCCGCTTGTGCGTGGCCACAGCCGCGAAGTCACTACTCTAAGCTGGGCTCACGATGGCAAACTCGTCACCGCGTCAGATGACTACATCGTTCGCCAGTGGCAACAGGACGAGGCTCAGGCGCGATACTTGCGGCAGGTGGGCGAGTTTGGCGGCGAGCGTCACATGGCAGGCTGGGCGGACGTGGGAGACGACTGGGATACCCCTGACGACGACTCTGAGTAAGTCGTTGGCGCTGAATGGGGACAAAAAGTAATGATGAGCATATGAACTGAAGGATACCATGGTATGGAATGATTGGCCTGCGTTTTTCTCACTCCCCTTGAGGCTTCGTTTTTCTTTCCAATGCTTCAAAAGTGTATGGGCGTGTAGCAATAATGTGCTTGGATAAGCATTTTACGGGGAAATGGTCTGAGCTATACACCCTCTTTGAGAGAGTTGAATCCTTTTTTGGGCCTGTTTTTTTTAATTGTCAAAAGCATAGCAGCGGCGTTTGTAGGGTTAGTTGCGGCATAGCCAAGCATCCAAGCATTGTTCAAGCCATGATGGGCGAATACATGTAAAATAAACGAAATGAAAGAAATTTACACGCGTAATTCTATTGACCTTGTGCTAGTATCCAACTATCTAGGGATCTCTCTAGGAATCTGTCGTAGCAACGCAACGCCATATGCCGGGACACGTTGTACGTTTCACGTTAGATGAACCGTTACGGTGCCCCAACCCATAATCCCTCTAATGCGAATGAATATATACAGGAGGAACAAGCCGATTAATCCCACCAAAACAGGTCTCGGCATCGCAGCGTTGGTAGGTTGTATTGACGACCGTACAGCCAACTTGCCATTGAGACCGCCGTCCTTTGCGGCAACAACTCGAATATGCCTGCGGGGCGGAATAGGGAGCGACTTTGCAAACCTCATAGATTTCGGAACGCCAGGGCACAGTTCAGTATCGGCAGCGACATTATCGTTATGAGCCTCTTCGCTTTTAGATTCATGCTCTCCTTCTTCGGTTGTATTCGTATCGAGCGATTGGCTCCGAATCGAACTCCTTACTCCTCGCTCCTTGGCTATCATGAAGCTGTCACGGATGCGTGCCACGAACTGAGTCTGCGCAAAGCGATCCGCTAGTGAAGGTCTCTTTGGGATCTGTATACTGGGCTTCTCTTCCTGCTCTTCGGCGAACATGCTGTCCAGGTGGCCGACGATGGACTCTATGTTGTCTAGGATAATGACCGATTCTCGCACTATGTCGTTTCTCTCCTTAGGCGACAGCTCGCCTTCCCATCTGAGCAACACCTCCTTATAGTCTCGCTTCAAATCCTCACCGTCTTGCGCCGTGTTGAAGCGCCAGAACCGCAGCGGGGCTTGGTAATACCGGCTGGTCTCTGCCAGTTCACATGTCGGCTCCAGCGGAGATGGATCAGTTGATCTCGGTCTGCAAGGTTCCATTGTTGGTTTGATGGGTCTAGGGACGGTTTCCCAAAATTCATCGCCGGCTTTTTCGAATGACGCTCTGATGAAGCGGCCTCCGGCGAAAAGGGCCATGAATAGGTTGTACGAGTAGGCGATGAGCGTGTGTGGTTCCTCGGGGATGATTTGCTTGATGTGCGAGATGAAGGCGGACAGTTTGCCTTTTCGTTTTATGACGTCGATCTGGTTATCGAGGACATCGTCGGACCAGCCCGTCATGGATTTGATATCGGCTCTGAGAATATCGGAACGAAAGAGTTGGGGAATCTTGAGCTCTTTGAGAATCGTATGCATGCGCTCGGAAACCTTTGGGCTTTCATCATCCAACGCGGTTTCCTCGGGAAGAGTATCGGGTATTACATCTTGCCAGAGCTTTTCAAATGTCATGTATACTGGAAGAAGATGCAACAAGCCGCTGATATACGGACTGGCATCGGAGGCCAGCGGAGGTAAGGCCAGCGGTAGTCGAGATACCACCAGTCTGTTGATTCTAGTGTGCAATTCCCTCGTGGCAGCGACCATCTCGAACGCCAGTGGTTTTTGGGGCGGAGAGGAGGCATTTTCGAGGGACATTGTGGTTGTAGAGACGGCCATTAGGATATAGACAAAATAGGGAGGATATTTGAAAACAAAAAAAGGGTATGAGAGAAGTAGTAGAATAAAGCCGGTGTCGCAGGAGTGGTATCGTATGCTGAAGTGATTTCCCGAAAGAAGTCGAACGCGGATGAAATGGTATAAAGGAGTTCAAAGCGAACTCTCTAGAACGAAAATGACGAAATAATGTTGAAAGTGAGATCAATAGCAAGTATTCTTGCTTTGTCCTTGAAGGGAGAGAAGGAAGCCAAAAGCATGTATCCCGCTTAGACGACTGGTAGCGAAACCTCAAGCTTCCGAGGACCATTCCTTGCTCTTTCCAAGTACACAAAGGACCGGATAGCGAAGGTACATATGTAGCCAAGGACTGAACGCTCCAGATTGCATGTGACCTGCGCAGGCTGCCTCATCTGATGAAGGCTGCCTGGCATTCCTCGTGGTACAAGAATAACAGGATCTTTGCACTCTTGAACGCCGAGCGGGCCATTCAGCAGGCACCCGGGAAGCTCGCCACGCTATGCGACAAAAGCAAGGAGACGCAATTTGTGCAGTTTGATTTGGTTTGCTGTCTCTTTGTCTCGGGGATCATCAAAGTTTGCGCCGCTGATGATCCGCGGTTAGATGCCGCTTTCTGGGGACCTTGGTGGCCGGGATATGGGGTAGATCCGGCTCACGGACCTCACTTTCACGGTTGGTTCAGCTGGGATTCTCTTTGTTTGTCTCGGTGGTTTTTTTTTTAAACCCGGTTTTAAGTAGCACATCCAACGTAATGAAATGCTGTTAAGCGCGCGAGGCTGACGGGATAAAGTGTCGGGTGTAGTTCTCAACGCCAGAGGGTAGCACTGCAGGTTAAGTTCGCCATGGTTTAAACGCGTTGGAATATGACGCAGAACTCATTGTTGCTAGACACTTCTCGAGTGTAATGTTACCTCTGCGCATTATTTCCCTATCGCTCGTCACGATCGGGGATTCAGTGCTTCATCGGGACAAATACATGGGTGCGGGTCGCGCTAATGGTATTTTACTCGTATATCTGAACTCACGTCTCATACAAATACAAATACCAGACATTTTGATTATATATCCGATGCTAGTTGCTGTGGATAGTGTATATACGAATTCAACTAGTTGTGAGAAGAAGTAAATGAAACATCTATTGGAATTCATTCTATCAAGAGAAACAATCCGACGCGCCTGTTGAAGAAGCGCAACAACGTGATGCAAAACACCTCCAATCTATTACATGCAATTCATTACAGTCGTCCACAGCCCGCACCTCATTCGGCACCATCAGGGTCGGAGGCCGAGCCGAGACCTGCTGTGGCGTTTACCCCTTTGCTCGTGTCCTCCTCCTTTGTCTCGTGATTAACAAACACAAATGAGACAAAGACAACGGCCGCGCCGACCCAGTAAATGCCGCTGGAATACTGCTGGTACTGGACCATCTCGCCAATGAGCGACAGCGGGATGGTCAGAGACAGGCCCACGGTGACGACCAACGGCGTCGTCAGGAGCATGGCCAGTGCCCAGGATATGTCACTGACAAAAGACGCAATTGCGTTGACCTGCGTAGCCGTGAGCGACTTTGTACGGGATCGGAGAATGATGAGAGTGAGTGTCTTGACTTACTATGATGATGGCCCAGATCTGGCTCGTAGGAGGCAGCTCAAACTGTATTGGACCCAGGTCAGTATTGTAATTTGCAGTCCCTTTGTGGTCATGCAGGATGAAGGCGGCACATACCGGTTCGAGGCCCGTCCAGTGGAGGACAAACAAGAGCGGCCACAGCAAGGCCAGATTAAACACTCCCACCAACCCAAAGAACAGCTGCATGTTGACCTTGTCCTCGTCACCCACTCGTCGCTTCATCACGGTGACATATATGCCGTAGACCACGGCGCTCAGAAACGCCATTGCATCTCCCAGCGCAATCTGCCCGGGAGTCTTGTGCGGGAACGATCCTCTGTTCTCGTCACTCTTGCCCGATAGGTCCACCATGGAAATGAGTATGATGCCGGTAAGAGACGCCACGACTCCAACCAGCTTGCGCAGGGAAAAGGTCTCGACGCCAAACATGGAGCCAAACACCAGTGTCCAGACGCTGCTCGTGGAGGTGAGGATCGTGACGCTGGCGACGCTGGTATACTCGAGACATGCCGACGCAAAATAGTTTGCGAGGAACCACAGCATGCAGAACTCGAGGCTCAGCACTGCGGTTTCTCGGAAGCTGAGCTTCTCTTTTGAAGGAGTCGAGATTGGTGTCGTAGGATCTCGTTCGTCTACTAGCAAGCGCTCTTGGGCTTGCTGATCTTCTTCGTCTGTTGTAGGACTGCCCGGGGCGGCTTGGTATCGATGTTCCGCCCACATGCGCCTGACGTCGCTCCGCAGTCCGTGGAATCCTTTCTGGAGCAGATATCGAATAAACATGGGTATAAGAGAGATGGCGAACATGGAGGTGTTGGCATAGACGAGGAAGAAGGGCTTATCGTAGGTTGTATTGGAAAAGACGAACTATGACACTATCAGCAAGTGCTCTTCATTGGATCGCAAATCGCAGACGTTGGGTATGTTGGGCATCCACTCTCTCCCATGTACTTACGCTGGTGAGAAAGTTGGACATCGTCCATAGAAACACCGTCAACAGGAGGAAGCAGATTCCCAACGTCCTCCTCGCAACTCCAGCCAGACCCAGGCCTTCTCGAAACCCAACTGCTGCGCCATGGATAGAGGATGCCGACGCCGCCAGGCTGGCAGCGCCGTGTGAGGCCCGCCTCCCAAGACTGTCGGATGAAGGCATCGCCAGTCGGTGTCTGTTGTCTCTTACTTGATCGATCGCTCGTCCCGTCTATCGTCTATCTGTCCTGTCTATTCCCCCGGTAGCGGCGCCTCTGTCTCGACTATGGACCTCGTGATCAAGCGCCGATCATAGCGTGGTCGCGTGCATCCTAACATGTACTTTCGGTCTGGGTTATCTCGGAGCGCACAAATCACCGTCGGCACATGTGCTTGGTGTTTTCGGTCGTTCGTATTCTTGGTACGCGGCAGGGAAGCTCGCAGCCGGAACAGGACGGTAAGCTCGTATGTTTGCCGTAAGAAGCGAGCGAAACGACGTCGAATTGCGGAAGCGATTGTTCCGAGAGGATAAAACCAGCCCGACCCTGTGCAGGGAATCTTAACTGTATGGAGGCCTAGTTTCGGTGTTAGTGCTCAGCTGGTGCCGTTGGGCTGCAGCGGCTCGAATCCGCCGAGTCTGAAGGCAGGACTCACTTGTAAAGATGCAATACAAAGAGGTCAGATTCTTTTGGGTGTTTGTCTTTATTTGGAACTTTAGTTTTGCATTTTCAGTTATCAAATTAATTCAAGTTTTGACACAACAGAGCCTCGACGAGTATATACGACTGTGCATTTATGGTTACATGTTCTCCGTATCTTGGTACTCCGTAAGACCGACTGTGTAAGACATCAGAAGCTGAACGAGACAGATCAGTGATAAGGAACCACGACGTATGTCATAATACAACATGTACTACCACATGTGTACTACCAGAATGAGGGCAGCTGAACCCCGAAGCATCTTTTTCATCTTTCTGCATGTGTTGTGCCCCGTCTTGCCTGTGTGTGAGTGCATGCACCGCCGTCGTTGGCCGCACAGATATCGGCTGATGATGGGCATTCAAGATGGAGCAGCAGCTAGGCAACGGCGATAAAGTTGAAGCCTGCATCAGCTCGAAATAGATAGCCGAATGCAATTACTAGAACCGACAGCGTATTGACTGTAGCACAACCGCAGAGCAGGCATATGACGTGGCACTCAGCCCTCTGATACCGTCCTGTGTCTTACAAGCTGGCAGACAAGACGCGCCAAGTCCCCGATGGAGTCGCATGATCAAATCAAAGTTGCAAAACTGCAAGACAGTTGCTGCAAGTCTTTGGCTAGATCGGCCATGATGCCGGGGGATCGAAAAGCGAGAATCCTATCCGTCCAGAGAGTCCACTTGGACAACAACTTACTTTCAATGAATGGTTCAAGGGGGAAATTAGAGATGTGGGTTCGGAGATGGATTCGTTGGTGGACGGACAAACACCAGGATTGACGGAAACGGGAACGAATCCCTCGTATACTTATTGATGCATCTCGATGCAAGTTCGCTTCAACAGGGCACATCTGCCGACATTTGCTTAGCTGATTGCATCGTGCGCTCTTCTCCCGGGCAAACGGGGCCTTGTAACTCGGAGCAGCGCCGCTGGGGCTGGGAAGTTCCGTACAAGCCAACCTTGATGTCCCCCGTGCTAGAATCTAAAGTAAGCCTGCGCGTCAACTGCCGTTTGCTAAACCGGTTAATCAATTCACGAAGTGACGTCTCTAGCTCCCCCCTGTATTGTTTTCTAGTGCCCGTTGCGGTCAATGGACTTCGGCCGCCACGCCTTGGTCGCGCTCTTCGCTTACCTCGCGTGTGCGCCTCACAGCTCGGGGAAGCTCGAATCAACGAAGCTGGCGGCAGAAAATTCTAGCGTCAACAGGCGTTTAGCACCGTTTGACTTCAAGCTCGTTTTGCTTGTGAGCCTGTCGCTGGTCCCCTGTAAAATCGTATCGGCCGATGTCGTAGTTTGGCCCCATACTCGCTGAGAGTATCCCTTTACGGAGACGTTGATTCTTGGTAGCTTCACGTCATCTCATCTAGGGACATAATGTACATGACTATTTATCAATCCGATTTCCATCTCGATTCACAAGTGCGTTGACGATGTGACATTCTCGAACAGTTTCCCTCCATATCATCTCCATAGACCTTTGCCTTGCATACAATTCATACAAATAATCCGCCACCCCAACAATCATTACACACAAACATTTGATACTTGCAAACACCTCAAATAAGAGTCAGCCCTTCTCTTCTAGAAGCCCGGCAGTACAAAAGCCCCAGCCCAGCCCCACATCAAACTCAATGGATCAACACCCACGAGGCGCTCACAGCAGTGATGTACGCCGTACACGCGTATCAAAGGCCTGTGAGCGGTGTCGCCTAAAGAAGATCAAGGTTCGTTTTCATCATTCAATGCCAACTCTTGATTGTCCATACTGACAAAGCGGTCGTACCAGTGTGATGGTTATTTCCCCTGTCAAAAGTGCAAAAACAACGGCCATGTATGCACCCCTGGCATCCGCAAGAGAACAATTCATGTTGAGTATAAGCAAGTTCCCAAGAGGTATGTTTATATTTGTCGCAATCCTTAATACATGTACCTATCTAACAATGACTGACTTGCGTCGCAGCTATGTCGAGTTCCTCGAGACCACTCACTTGGCGCTTATCGGCAGCGTCCACAAGCTATACACTATGATCCAGAAGAATCAGTCCTGGGATCTCGGCGACCCTGAGCTGAATGACCAGGGCGAACTAGTTATTCACGATGTGGCTAAGAAGCTAGGATGTCTTCGTCCCAATGGCAAAATTGAACTACCCATCCAATATGAGCTGCCCACAACAGCTTCCGGCATGGCAAGAATCGCGGCTCACCCTGATCGATTACAATATCGAGACGAGGAAGAGGACGAGCATGATGACTACAAAGAGGCCGACTCACCCATGGAAGACCTCGCTGGTGATGACTCGCCATCATCTGAGCTGATGCAGAGCATCGAAACCGAAGTAAACTACCGCAAAGAAGCTTTCGCCGGCTACAATCCCTCCATGACACAATCTCCTCAGAGCCTCTACAGCACCGATGACTCAGAGCATAGCCACCCTGGATCCGATGGCGTCAACTCATGCGTTACAACGTCACCGTATATTTCACCCATCACGGACTATCCCGATGGCTCCATGTCCCAAATGGGGTCGGGGTCTGACGAGATGACGGCTTTCCTTCAGCCATACGGACCGACGCCGAATATGGGAATGCTGAACTGGGACCTCGGAGACCCTGACTACAAAGAACTTGAAAGCAATCTATCGACGATGCCAGAATTTAGTTTGGCGCTGAATATCGAGGGCGAGATGATATTTCCCGAATATAATGACCATTCAGCGTGGCTGTCTCAGACGCTGTCGCAATGGAAGGAAGAGAACCAGGTCTCCATGGAGTCGTAATCTATGAAATCTTGATCACGGTGGTTTATTTGGAATATTTAGCATTTTAGAGTGTTTAGACAAAAGTTTATACAATAATTTCTCGCGAACCTTTATGTATGCCATCCGCTGCCGCTTGTTATCTAGAGTGAAGTGTTTTCCCCTAACTTATCCTTACCAACATATTTATCTCTAATAAAAATTTATACATCAAGGACGGTTTTTATTATCTTAATGCCCCTGGAGAAGCTTTTAATCATCAAATTGCTCAAGTAGAAATTTTATGGGGGATAACATTTAAATCGGATCTATTCGATCCTGCACGGTGAGTGCCTAGATTCACAACTTAAAAAGTCTACTACTCATCCAATTCCCCGTTCATATCCTCCAACATATCCTCCAACATACCAGACACTACCCTTTGTAAGTCATCCATAATCTTCCATGGCTTTCCCATTGTGCGTGCTAAGAGAATTCCTTCTTTCGATATCATAAAGCCTCCCGCTTTGGGAACACCCTTTGGAGAAGTAATCGACATTGCTTTCATCAAAGATCCGTCCAAATTACTGGCAATAGGGATGCCAGATGCGGGATCTTCCACAATCGCAGCAATTGACTTTACAGAATCTCGAATGATGCCTATTGAGAACATCTCTGTCGGCTCCCAGCCCAGCTGAGCGTGGTCCATCTCACCCCATAGCTCGAACCCTACCAGGCAGTCAGTGCGCGGTACGGTCCAAATGGTTAGGTGTTCATCTCATACCATCATCATCTAGAGGCTTTGGATATACAAAGACAACAATGCCGCTGTGATATTCCTCCATTAGCCGCTTCAGCGAGGTTTTGGTTCCATCGTGAAGATAGATTGCTCCTCCAAAGTCATCGGTCAATGGAACTTTGGATCCAACGCTTATATGGGATACTGGACTGTCATCGCTTGCCTCGTTGCCTTTCTTAGGGCGGGGCTTTTTAACAACTTTGGCCTTTTGCTCGCGTGATGGTTTTGGGACCTTTGGGGGTGGCTTTGTTTCGGCCTTTTTTGTGGTGGAGGTGCGACGGTTCACGGCTGATCTTGTTCTTGGCATATTGCGGACTAGACGTGTGCATGCACTTGTTCAGATAAAAGGAGGCGGTTCAAGCTCTTTTATGTTCAGACGCAACGGCCACAGGTATATTAAATCGCGATCAAGAGTCTGCCAAGCAATGCAGATTGTAGCAAATGATGGTTCACGTATTCATATGTTAGCATGCACTCGGAGATGTGAAGGACTTATTGACGGGCACACATATAAATAGCTATGCATATATAAGCCCTAGGCCCAAATCGGCCAACAAGCCACTTGAGGGTATATCGGTAGCTGCTCCGTTGATCGGATGAGTTATCCAAGGTTAGGTTCGATTCCTAACAGCGCTACTTGGTTTGGTCGCGGTGGCTCATTTTCCGTACAGTTGTAATTGTACAATCGTTCTAGCACTTAAAGCCCAAGTGTTTTACAATAGCTACTGGATATCTTCAATGGAATTTTATAATGGAAGATCCTTTGACCATCTTTGTAATCGACTAGTCGCTAAGACTGATTGCCAAGCAAGAGCTTGCCTAGATGCATGAATCACAACGCGAGACAAGGTGAGATTCATTGTAACTGCGTTCCTTATGGGGAAAACATTTTATGCTTAATTAACTGAATACGGAAGAACAAGCTGCCTGCTGTCTATGATGAATATTTGCACACCAATCTTCTACTTCTGGAAACATCGTGTAATCATCTAACACACTAGACTAACTATATGATGTGAAATGAAAATGTTCCATTCAATGAGCCCTTCCGAACGGCAGGCTGCTGAGAAAAATGCTCCAAAAAAGCGATAGCATTGAGATCATCATGGAAATCGGAATAGAAGGATTCTGTAGATCAGTACCCCGCCCCAATGGAGAAATCCAAATTATGAAAAAGCTCATCATCGGCAACAAACATAAGAAATTATAAAACAGTACCCAACGAAGACTGATAATTTCGCGTGCGTAAAGACCCCAGAAGATTTCTCTTTTATCACCACCTTCTTCGAGTTCCGTCAATTTTTTCGGGAGGCGGTCTAACACTTCGCTGTGTGGTTGGACTAAGATGTTTGCATTTCGCTTGCGGCGTGCATAGAAGTGATGTTTAAATTCGTGCGTGCTCACCGGCGGTTTGATGTTCATCGGTTTCGGCCGATAGTCGTAATCAGGATTTGCTTGTTCTGGGAAAGCGTCTTTGTTTATAGGGGCAAATACGTGATCGGCGAATTTTTCAAACTAGCACGTGTGTTAGAATATTCTATATTTTGAAAAGACAAGCCATTGGGCATTGAGGAGGCGCTTAGACACTTACATCGTAGAAGTCGGAGTGATGGTACCTCCAAACACTGAAATAGGTACGGAGATACCCCCGGAGGTTGAAGTAGCTCCCTCTTAACTCGTGAAAGAAACGTTGGCAACTGAGCTTACTGACGTAGATCTGTGCCAACTTATACTCCGTACCCTGATTCACAGCAAAGAGAACCCAGTGGTTAAGAGGAGTTGTAGAGATTGCGCCAGCTTGAGTGCCGACTAATCCGCCTCGGGGGATATTGATGGGGGATGCTCTTTGTAGCGGTTGATGGGGCTGATGAACTCCTCCACTATGAGAAGGTACTGTAGGAGAAAATGTATTCCTGGAAGAGCCATGCACACCAGTATTTCGTGCGTGTGAGGCAGCAGGAGATTGGTTACCACTCATTGAGGCACAATCTTTCGAAAGGTCACGAACAAACAACATCAGACGTCTGGCAAAAGGCTGGGGTACTTTTGCCCATCTCTCTTCCCCACATTCCTGAACCAACGGTGGTTAGCACTGCACATTTCAAAAGGAAATCAAACTCACGCATTGCCATCGTAATAGGCTCTCGCCGTTCTCTAGAGCCCTTGGATAATAAGGCAATGGCCACCAATCCCAGGATACCTCGGTCCATTGCTCAATCAAATTCTGATAGTAACCCAAAAACCCTTGCCAATGGGTGCTCTTATTATCCTCATCCTGTCTGATTTCTTGCGGATGAATGTACTGCAGCTCAGCAACTAGATCAGATAGCTTGTAGCGGGCAACGAAGGAGTGGTGTCTGTGATCATGTCTTGACCACCTCGTGAGTAGGCCTCCAAGTTTTGATCGCAAAGAAGGTCGAACAAACTCATCAAATCGACGACGAAGGGTCTGATAGGCAGTACTATCCAGAATAAAATGTCTCAGTTCGTCCAAATGCTTTAATAGGTCATTATGTAGCTCATCTGGTTCGGCTTCTTCGTCTACACCGTCTTGGTCGCTCTCTCCATCAGATTCACTCAGCTCGACTCGGTCGTTGACGTTGTTATATAAAGTTGGGTTGTTGAGGTGAGCAGTCATAGGTTGTTCAACAGAATCAAGATCTTGAGAAATCTCAAGATATTCTTCTCCCTTTTTCTGGCTTTCTCCAGCAGCATAATGCTGCATCCTTGGTTCTTGCATCGCATCTCCCGCTTTCTGATCATCGCCAGAAAACTCTGAGAAGAGTTCTTGTGAAATGTTGGACAAATTCGTTTTTATAAACTCAACAAGCGCTCGGTGGTGATCGTTGACTGTCTCAACTCTAAGGTCACTGGCAAAGTGCTTTAGTAGTTTTCGAAAGTTGTTTCGAGCCCTTCCGGGGCCAATCTCCTGCTTCGAGACGGCCTCCAGAGTGAGAGATCTTAGGGCCCCATCTTCGTTAAGTAGAGTAACAAATTCTTGGACAAATACTTTGTACATTTTTCCTGTCTCCATTCCCAGTGTAGTTGTACTAAGAATTGTAGATGCAGAGGAGAAGATGGAGCCATTATCGGACCCTGAGTCGGAATTCTCATTTCCAGGCTGCTTTATACCTGTCAAGGGCCCTTCTAGAGGTTTCTAAGCACTGTTCATCTCTTCTTTATGATATATGTGCGTTCAATACTCACCTAATGCAATTCTCCAATCAGCATCAAGCAGTAAACGTGCGGTGCCTTTGTGCCTATTCTCATCTGCCCATGCCAATAGCGTTCTCCCGTTACTATCCTTTGTGTTGGTGTTTGCTCCTTGCTCAAGAAGTGACTTAACAAGAGCCTCATAGCCATTTTCAGCGGCATATGACAAGGCAGTTCGGTCGCATTTGTCGGATGAATTTATGTCAACTTCGCCGGTTGCAAGCAGAAGCTCAACGAGAGCCTCATGGCCATTTTCGGCAGCATACGACAACGGTGTCCGACCAAAGCTGTCCCCCAAATCTAAATGTCTTTCTTTTTGCATTAGATTACTTACAGCTTCATCGACACCAAAGTATGCTGCCAAGTGTAATCCGGTCATCCGCCTGGGATAGTTTTGGGTGCTGTCCCAAGGTCTGTTGCCAACCATTAATACTTGAGTTGAGGCCTCTACCTTGATATTGCAATTCAAGAAGCACATCACTTCTTCATCCAACCTAGAGCATGCACGAGCATGGTGCCCCCAGTTATGCGCAGCGTATTCGTAGAGCTGGAATTCCTGAAGTCGCTCTTCCAAATCGGAAACTGTTTCACAAGGCCCAGCCTCGAAATAGTCTAATGAAAGATAGGTCACGCATATCGTTGTGAGTGTATCTTCTGCTTCGGGAAACCAGCGCTCTCGCGTCCTTTCAAGATATTCATACGTAGTGTAATGAATTAGACGAACTATGCCGCTTTCATTCTCGATTGTTACCAATCCATTGCATGGATAGACAATGCCATCGATTGATGGAATATTATTCGTATTAATGCGGGAATCTTTTGATTCGATTGCAAGCGCAAGTTGGAGTTCTGAGGCTTTAAGAGGCCTTTTGGCGCAAACTATCAGGGAGAGAATTAGCCTGGCAAACTCTGGGAAGTCTCCCTTCTGGCTCATTATCGAATTCATCACTTCTTCATATACATAGTCATATGTGTTTTCGTTGATAGTCAGCTGGTCTAGTGCATATTTTATACTCGCCGGTGACCTTTTATGCCTAAGGATTCGAAGATGAAGCTGCGCGTGAAGGAAACTATGTGACTGTTAATTATCGCCTTGCGTATAGCTCAATATAAACTTACATCCCCTCAGCCGCCTCTGTGATCTTCGTCTTAATATCTTCCCGGCAAATGCGCAATATTGTCGAACCCGACTGCGATATTTGACTGTCCAAATAATTTCTCATATCATCGGCGTGAGCCCGGACCTCAATCACTGTACTTTCTTTAAATTTCTCATAAATTTCTGGGATTGGTGTCGATGTTGCGAATATATTTATGCCGCTTTCAGCTTGTATTTTGAAGAGGTGGGAAAGGAATTTTCGCCGGCTATTGTTCGACGCCTGGCATTCATCCAGAGCATCAACAATTATGAATATCCTTGAATATAAAGTTATGATGGACTGAAGAGTTTTATATAGTTCGTCAACTGATGGCCGCGTTCCTCTGCTTTGATGTCTCCTGTAGAGATCTTTTACACCTTCTGGCAGGAAAGGTTGGGCCTCGGTAAGTTGTTTTATTATGCTCGCTAGCAGGTCACCAGTATTCTGCTCATCGCATCGCTGGTAGTTGCAGTAGATGTATGCGATGCCGACATCTCCTTGACGGAATGTTGAAAAAAGGTAATTAACCACAATTGACGTTAAGATAGTTTTCCCTGCTCCGGGTGCACCTGGGCAGAATAAAATTTGGTTGCCTGTATTCAGCCAATTCTGGAATTTCTTGGAATCCAAGAGCCATCGCCATGTTCCTGGTTGCTGTCTCTGGAAATGATTGCGTTGTTGTAGACTATAATCTATTGGCGTCAACCAATCGAGAATTTTAATGTTTTCGGGGTTCTCTTGTTTAGCTTTATGAAGTGTAGTGTTTTTCACATCTATGGATATGGTGTTAAGATCTGTATGAAATATTAGAGATGGTTATATTTCAGATATGAATTTTACTAACTTTTTTCAGGCACATCTTTCGTTTCAGGCACATCTTTCGTTTCAGGCACATCTTTCGTTTGGCGCAATTCTCCAAGTATATCGTTCGCTGGTCGCTCTATTTCGATTTCAGTTGTGTTTATAGTGTTTAAAAGCTCTTTTGCAAAAGCTGCCGCCGTAACTGCAGCATGCTCTTGCCAGGTTTTGCTTTTATGTGAGTCCGCATAATCGCAGATGCCTCGGATAACGAGGCAAGGAAAATCACTCATCAGTCCCGCCGCTTCCACCTCGAAGCAAAGAACGCGGCCTCCAAGATTTTGATTCAATTGGTCTCGGTAGATACCATCTTTGATAACTTGGTTACCAGATGCAATTAAGCCATAATGCACCCGCATTTGTCTGGGTTTCCTTTTTATAAGCTGGTTTCTGTCGCAGAACGGGCAGTCTTCGTCAGTTTCATCTTCGGAATCTTGAATATCGCCAAAGTCATAAACATCACCAGAGTCGAAAGTTTCACCTGGGCCACAGGTATTTGGAAATGGGCCATTAGTATGTCCATAATCCGATTTGAATAACAGATCCTTATGACGACTGGACTTCAAGTATTTTGATGTTGGACGGGGCCACATTTCCTCAAGTTGATCTAGATACTCTGGTATCTTGGATCCATTCAAGTCATGCTCTGTTTTCAGTTTCGCAAGAGCTGTCAATAGCGGAGCCGGGGGATTATTTAACGAGCCAGTTCGTTCAAATCTCCCCCCTCCTATTGCCTTGCCAATGTCCCATTGAACAACACCAGGGAACTGGCCAGTAGGAGTGCTGACCACAACGTCACCAAGTCTCACTTGAGGAGGAATGCCACTACCAATGCCGACTAAAAGGCTGACCTTGATGGACGGAAAAGTGCTAACCATCCGGGCTGCAACAGTCGCTGTTGAGGTTGTTCCAAAGTTGTTTTGGGGCGGACGAGCTATAACAATATTATGTCTGTTTATAGATCCCAATGTATAGAAATTGGTGTCCTTTATTGGCGTCGGAAGGTCTGGATGCCTTTCATCGAGCATGGCGATAGCTGCGGTCTGCTCTTTTGGTAGAGCACAAATCCACCCAACGGTATAATCATCCCAATGTCTTTCATAAATCATCGTGAGAGATCGATAGATCGCTGAATTGAGATTAAATATGCTTCCAGTGGAAGTGTTTCTGGTTTATTGAGAGGGGGAAATTGGTGTGAAACAAGCATCAACCTGGACGCGGGGGCATCTTGGGCAGCAACTCAGCCGCAATATACCAATGCGTGATTTTAGTTTGGCTATGTAACATCGATCACCAGCCAATCATTTGTTGTCTATATATTAAATGCAGTTCTGTATCTGCGGAGTACCATGTATCTCGAATCTGGTTGGTGGCCTTGTGAGCAGCTGTTCACGGCGAAGGAGTGAAATACATAATGCATACCACAATCTCTATCACCCTGGGCGAATTTCACCCCAAATCTCCATGTATTAAGTCATTTCAATTGGCATTCGTGAGAGCCTTCTTTCTGGGAAGAAAATTGACACTTCATGTCCACGGAGCCGCGAATATTACGATCAAGGCATGTGGTGGAGCCCGGTCAAAAAGGAAATATAATTCTCATATGCTATTAAATGTATTTTATGTATATTTTCCTGCTCTGTCAGCAGCATTCTAATGTGTCACATAAACACCGCCTCTGTCATGACTAGGTTCGATTGAGCGTACGTGTATATTAGAACAATCTCGACCGGGCTAATACGAGTATCAATCACATGTTGACACATTACCCAAAACAGTGCGGTGTGAAAATTCGGATCTATTGCTACAATTTGAATTGACAACGTGTGGCTATCAGCTCTCTCAGAGGTGAGCCTGGTACGAAACTCTGATGAGGTATATTGGACAATCACCCAAGCTACAGTGGGTCAGCAAAAGTCAAGACGACCCCACAGTATACACCAAAACACAACCTTTATAAATAATATTATAGCACTAAGAATATAATTAAATTATTATAAAAATAGTTTTTTAATATTTTAATATAATAATAATTATAATAATTATTTTATTATATATTTTTCCTTAACTAATATTTATAAATTCTAGCTTAAAGTTACTTATTTTTGGAATTTAGTTTACGCACTGTCCCTAGTGGGCTTATAGCGGGCTTATAGT